GAAGACGCTGTCCTAAAATCGTGTTATCTCCCTTTAGTTCGGATTCTTTCGACGTTGCATGACTCCAAGATAAACCCATGTGACTCTTTTTCTATGGGCACAACCATAGGAAGATAAGTGAATAAACCTCTCATCGAGTTGTCAAAATATAGAAATATAGTAAGAGTTGTATCAAGTGTTTATCTTTCAAGTTGTGATTTATCTTATGTTGTATGAAAATCAATCCCTTTTCTAGGGAAAATTTTTAACCCCCACATTCATGGATTTAAATCCAATTTAAGCACAAGTTACACTAGCATTAAGGATTTTTTAATTTTGTTAAAATTGAAAATTAAATGGTTGAAAGATTAAAACTTATTTTTATATATTTTACAACAGACAAACATTTCAGAAGGTGAAATTCGTGTACCCGAAGAACAGGGACAGTGTAGAACTAATCAGTTGCTATTTTGATTCTGATAATCTCCTAACCGAGTTCAGAGGGAAAGCCACGCTGCAGTATGACCACAAGAAATTCTCTAGGCAAATGGCACAAGAGGATTTGAAAGCTTCTAAATTATGGGGTTTCGACGAGCACCAACCTAATGACCGTGCAGGGGCTGAGGTGTCTGCCGAGCTCGAATGCCTTGCTTTCTGAGTTCACTACTGAACTTTGCGTCACCGGTGAAATAATGATGCAATGAAGTGTATCAGCAAGCTAGCTTTACCTCAATTCTAAGCTAGAATCTATAATAGAATGAGTCACGCTATATGTACAATCATTGTTGACAACATTGATCGACAACATCATATTTGACAACATCACATTCGTCCATTTTTTGATTGTGGAACCAATGGATCTCATTATTCATGAAAATGAATATTTAACTATCATCTTTTTAACATAATTACATATGAAAATTGATTTAATGTTACCCGCGTGCATCTTTCAGCTATTTATTTGTGCATTTCAAGGGAGAGGAGTGTGCGTTAAAGTTAAGAATAAGTAACTTATAATTATGTTGGAAAAATAAAAATTACTTATTACTTTTGAACTTAACCAAACCTGCTGTATATACAATTCAAAACAAACTTTGCTACATTTAGTACTGGGTTTTTGCAAATTATACAACTCGTCTTACTCCACCCCTTTTCAACGTTTAGGAGTAAAATTCCCTCAAAAACTATACAAGAAGAAAGAAAAAAAGATCAAAAACCCCAGATTATTCACGACGAGAATTTTTTTCTTTTCCCCTTGCCCACTCCCACACACACCACCAAAAAAAAAAGGGCTTCTGCCAAGTAATTTGCACTCAAAACATAAATCCAAATGTACATTAGATTTTGGCTCATGATGAAGCAAGATAACATGGTAAAAAACTACCAAAGCCGCCTTTTAAAGTTTCGGGAGGCAGTCTGATAAGTACGAACCAGCAAACCAGCTCCAATTCCAACTCCAAGGCAAATGCCAAGGCCTATTCCAACACCAACCCTAACGCCTGCATTGAACCAGGTAAGTTCCCCATCTTCACCTTCAACATATTCTGTCCTCCTCCAGTAGGAGTTATCATAGACTTCATCATTTTCTGGTTTATAATTTCTGTATTCTGCAACCTGGAAAGTTAAAATCAAATATTTGTGAGCAATTGCATATTCTAATCTATAAAAGCGAGAAAATGATAATGTCAACTTTGTCATCAAAAATTGGAGTAAAAAACGAAATACTGTAAAAAGAATAAAATACATGCTTTCTGAACAAAGCACAAATTTCGTGAGATTCTAGCTGACTATGTCGGATGTAGTATGAAATTGTTTATTGCAACACATTTGATACACAACAATAAAACACTTTAAGTCTTGTTCCAATAAATTTGGGGTCATCTACACGACTACTCTTTTGCCCATTCTTCTGTTCATTAACAGATGTACTTGAAGGTTCAAAGTCACAAGGTTATTAGCAACTACAGTAGACCATGCTAGTTTTGGTGCATAAACATGCATATCAAAAATGTTGTTGGGAAGAATCAGAAAAATAAGTCATCATTTTTAATGGTTAACAGAATAAAGCCAATAAGATCAGGGCCGGCCATGATATTTTGGGAGCCTTATGTCAACTTTAAATACGGAGCCCTATTGAAAAAAAAAAAATCATCATATTCTTACTTGAGCATTCCAATAGAGAGTTTTAATATAATCATGAAGAATCTAATACATACAAATAAACCCCAAAATTTGAAGAGGAAATTAATGAAATGTCAAAAGTTAACATGCAATACAAATTATAAGTGAAGTTTGGTATGCTAAATTATAATGCAATGGCAAAGGGGTTTGTTCCTTTTTCTGACCATTTTCTCACTACAACTATTTAAAACAAAATTGAATGTCCATTTGAGTGATGTGTGAGAGGGCTACTTTTGAGTGTGTGAGAGAATGCCAAAACCGTGTACACTTCTTTATTAGAGTCCATATGCAACATATGGATGTAGATCCCAAGTTGAGGTCGAACCACCATCCACCGTAAATCTTTGTGTTTGTAATGCAAGTTTTCTAATTTCGTTCTATCTATAATTGCTCTGTTATGAAGTGATTAGGTCTTAATCCTAACATTAAATGAACAAGAATTGATCCAGGAAATAACAGAGGGCAAACTTAGATATGAAAGATGCTAGTAGAAAATTGGTAAAAATTGAGGTGAATACACTAAATGACCGTTGTATGACCTAGCAGTGAATTAATCAGGCTACATCTTTTATGCAATACTTAAATGACCAGAATAAAATGATTCACAAGCAACCCATAGGCAAACCTAAGGAAAACTTCGCAGTTAGGGTTATTGGGTTTTCATCTCATTATATCACGTCTCTAGTTTCCTATGCTATATAAAGGGGTCAGTGACTGAGGGGGCCCTTTTTGTAGAGCGTGATCCCAATAGAATCTACCACAAGGACTGATAAAATTATACTGCAACAAGGAAGAACCAATATGGAAGCAGAAATGAATTTTGTACTGATTGATAAAAAAAGAAAGATTACAGAATGGAATTAGTTCAAGAGGGCTGCACTCTCCACAGTGTGTTTTCACTCAACAATTTTTTCTCCCCCGAACCTCCCTCATTCTGTTTCTATTTATAGCCTACCCGTAACCACTTTTGCCTACCTTACCCTGCCTTCACTAACAGAATTTGTTACTGCATCCCCCTTCTCCATTCTTCTTGTTCCTTCTAGAATAGGTGTATTTTATTGGGGGCTTATCAGATCCCTTGAAACTTCTTCCTTCTCAGTTTTACTAAAAATCCATCTCGATTTCTAGTAAAAAATCTGCAGCCTAGTGGACATTGCCTTCACATGAAGGTAAACCACTATAAATCTCTATGTTTCTAGGTGTGCATTTCCGTTCTTGTTTGTTCATTACTGCTCTCAGGTTTGGGCTTAATTTATAATGTGCGTGTACTCAATTAGTAATATCAGAAGATTTGCCAAAAAATAGTTGATAAACAATTTATGAAATCTAAACCAAACACAAGACTGGAACGATCAAACTTCATTACCTGTAAATCAAGTCCAGATGCAACATCTTGATTGGATTCGGTGGTTTCATTCTCAGGAATCGAACCCAATGTTCCCTTTCTATGCTTTTTCCGATGTTTAAGCTGCAGAGTCTTGGTTAATATGACCGGTGTTCGCAAAAAGCTTCCCGCAACATAAACTTCTATAGTAGGTGAGAATAATTCAGCACTTTTAATCTGTTTACCCTTCAGAAATCCCGTGCCAGGACTCATTACTGATTCACAATCCATGCTCCACTTATGCGCCGTGTTGTTTGAATCCCCAAGAAAACCATTAGTATTAGGCATTTCTAGAACTCCAAAGAGCACAAGATCCTCTCTATTGAAAACTTCAAACTTTACACTCCCTGTTAGCCTTATACCATCTGTGCTCACAAATGTAACCTCTTCGAATGTCTTATCGACCCGATCCCTTCGAAGTAAACATGAAACTCCTTCTGAGTCAATCGAACATCTTACACCATTCACTTCAAGGAGGGTGTCCGGACCAAGGGGGATGTGATTGAGAGTAAGAGATTCAGGGGTCGACTCATCCACCTTGAAATTACTTATTCTGACATAGAACACTCTTATATCAAACCAAGGTAACAAATACTTGCCACCAGATTGATATAAAGAATGCTTTTTAATCTGTAATCCCGGATCAGCCAGATTACCATTGCCATGTGACACATGAGAATTCTCCATCTTTTCCGGAACATATTTTACACCAAACTCATATGAGGGCATTGATATAACCAGATGAAGGCAATTCACAAATGCAAATGGATCCTATTTCATAACCAATAGGAGTCAAAAAAGAAAAATCAAAATTTCATAAAAATGTC